GAATTTGAGTATAACTTAGATGCGTGCAGTACTGCCACGGCCGTCACATTTAACATTCGTAAACATTGAAACAAAAAACTTAATGTAAGTATAAGCCTTTAAACATGTTACAAACTTGTAATGAATACAATTTCGCAATAAATATGTTTTTTTAAATCGGTTGATTATTTTAAAACACCCTGTACTATTATTATTATACCTATTTGCACATTTTTTCATTCATAAATTACTTAAAAATTATACTAGATGTTTTTGAAACAGTTTCATTAAATTATAATGCTTGTCTCAATATTGATTTTAAGCACGAAAGTAGTGTGTTCAGGTGACCATTGCGGCCACTGACTAGGTACATTGAATTCGAGAATAATAATAAATATTCAAATCAAATTGTTCTTAGTGGATCATCGACACAGATACATAGAATAAACTAGATTGCTAGCTGCGGTCTGCGATACAGCACCTGTGTAATTATTTGAAGCTATTATTTTAATCGAGGCCAATGTTTGTTATCACTCGTATTTATGAGATAAAATTAAATAGTTTATATTTGTAAAAATTACCTGTTTATTGTCAACCATATTATCATGTTATCAACATTAAATAGGTGTGATAAAACCATAATGGCGTCTTTTTAAATGTCAGATTCACTCATTATCACAGTTAGAGATCTAGTTTATTGTATGTATATGTGATCTTCGGTTATCTCATAATATTATTTTTCATTGCAATTCTAAGATATGAATAATAATGACATAACCTATAAATATTAAATATTAATTATGTTATTATCAAGGTGACACGGCGTGTTGGATAGGCAATTTAGCTACATTACGCTACCGAGGCCGAGGGTCTGCTTTTCTCATATTATTCATATAATAATGCTTTATGAATATACATTTATTGCTTAAAACAGTGGTTCCCAACTGGTGTCCGTGGACTCATCTCAAGTGGTCCGTGATGCCAAAGAATTTTTTTCAATATTATCAATATTATCAATATTTTAATTTTTTAATTTTTAAAAAGATGAGCGAAATTGTAATCTATATTATTTACGGCTAGTGTACGTAATTTGTTCATCATAATGTCAGTGGCTGACAGCCAGATTTACTTATGCGATCGATAACAATTTATACACATACTGATATAAATAATATTCAAGTATTATGATAAATAATTATCTGTGTTTTTCCACTGTATATCTCATAATGTAGCTGCGATTATGTTACGCATATAGTTAATTATTAGGCCCTAGAATAACGTACCTATACATTATGTAAGGTTTTGGTAAATCTTTCGATATAATATAATGTTAGAACTCTAATAAGTATTTAGCATGCATGCGATCATAAAAAATTTAAATTGATTATAGATGTGTTTATTTATTATAAACATATATTTTATTAGGAAGCCGACTATATAGGTAATGATATAATATTTTTATTGTATATTTTATGGTATTATTGTTATTATGGCTATTGAAAGTGGGTTGTTATTTCGTAATTTTTTCATGAATTTACACCAATAAGCAAAACAAAATATATACTTCTAGATGCCAAATTCAAATCCATTTCTTACATAACCTAGAAAGCTATAGAAAAGAGAATAAGGAATTCAAATATGTTTTCAAAATTAAAATCGGTCTTTTGGTACTGAGTGAATTTTTTTCCCCCTTTTGGGACTTAAGTGTTGAAACTTTTTTTATCGCAAAATATAGTGACTTGTGAGTTGTGACTGCACATATGTACAATATAGATTTCCAGGAATCTTAGGTGTAGTTTAACTTTAATTACATATAAAGTGTTAGAGGAATTCACGCCCACTGATCATCAGTCACTACACACGCAGTCACATATCACTCACGATGTATATAGGATACTGCCTAAATCTGATCCCTTAAAAATGGTTCGCTTTCAATAGGTAGCCTTAAAGTAATTCATTTTACAATAAGTTGAATACATTTTTTCTGAAAATTTTGCATTTGAAAATGTCATAATATGCATAAAGTAAAAAATATACCTAAAATATTTCAAATAGGTACCTAAGAATTATATTTAAATTACAAAAAAATATGCAATCAAGTAAAAATATATTTAAAATAAAATAATAAAATAATACAATACTACTGTTTTTAACACATGACCATTTTCCTGAAATGTTTACTCTTTTTAAACTATTTATAGAAATTTGATAGACATCTGGATATGCATTGAACAATTATGCGTGTGAAATAAATCACTCATACATACATATTATAAATGTAATATGCAAACTTATTATTCAGGTACTAAATAACCATGCATACAAACTACTATTAATTAATTAATTAATATATACACTATAAATAATATAATTTCATTACTAATAATTATGTTATACATGCGATGTAATTATTATAATATATAGTATGTAAGTAACTTTATTTATATATACAGGGTGATTCATCAAGAATTTTCACCTGCAACCTGCTTTTTCCATCAATAATGCAGTTATTTAAAATCTGATTTTTGGACTCTTTAAATATTCTCAAAAATCATATTTTCAAATTTTCTGATATTTCTTTTATTAATTGAAAAGTGTCCTATAGAGGTACAAACTTCTGTTTTCCATACGAGAACACCCCTTTTCAACTGTCAGTTATATACAGTCGATAATTTTTCTGAACATTTTGACGTATCAGATTCAAAATTCGCACGAAAAGTTTTTGAGTTATGTTTAATAATAATATATAATATATATACGCCCTATAGTGCTCAGTACAGTACAACTAATAATATAATACTCATCAACCATAATTGGATGATAAATTAACGATATTTTATAAATTAAAGAGTGTATTAAATGTCAATTTAAATTAAATTAAACTAAACTAGACGCTTTAACCTGATTGAGTCGTCATAGAAAAGATCAAAATTGTTTAACGAGTTTGCTATTGTCAGCATTCTACTGATCAGAGCAAAAGACTGTAATTTTGAAGGCAAGTAATGGAGTAATATGTATTTGATACACGAGTATTAACAGGAGGGTCATTAAAAGGAATGAAGCCCAGTAATTCAGGGCAGTCGATTTTAGAATTTAATAATTCATGGAGCAAAAGTACATTGTTCAGTTTCCTACAGTTAACTAGAGGCTCAAACTGGGCATTCTGTATATTAATGTGTTTAATGGATAAAAGTCAAAAGGTTAAAATTACTATTTTTTTTGTTATTTGATTATAATTTATAACTTATTTTAATTAAAAATGTGTAGTAGTTATTATAGAGAACAATGTACTTAGGGCGCCTAATCTCAAAGGTTTAAATGTTATGGTCTCGCTGAAACACGTGAAATTAATACAAAAAGGTAATTTTAAGTTATTACATAAAATTAAAAGCTTATAGAATAGTTCTTAGTGCCTACCTTATTTTTATACCTATCGTACTTAACAAATTAATTTATAGATTGAATAAAAAATAAAATAGGTTGGTATGCATACGGTATTACGGTATTTTTTTTTTTTTTTTTTCATTGATCTTAAGCTTCGGCAACTGAGGCCATTAGCTGTAGTAGGATTTTGTATTGTAGGTTTGTATTGTATATTTTGGGACGGTAGGGGGGAACACGTGTGTGTTTGTTTTTGGCAGAATTTCGAATGGGGCACCCGTAGGTTTCTGCCATGCNACGTGTGTGTTTGTTTTTGGCAGAATTTCGAATGGGGCACCCGTAGGTTTCTGCCATGCCCCGGGGGTGGGGGATGGCAGCACTTGTTCTCCGGTCAACGAAACATATCCGGAGAAAAATGCCGCCCGGTAGCCGAGGATCGAACCGCGACCGGCTGCGTCGCAGCGGAAGCGTCAGACCACTCGGTCACCTCATCCCCCTATTACGGTATTATTAGCTGTTTTTTAAGTATTTCAAATCAATAATAACAAATTAAACAACATAGGTCTTATAAAAAAACGTACAACGTAGATAAATAAATTATAGGTGTTTCAATGCTTGTATTTATTGTATTTTCAAGCTTTTTAATCGAGGAAAAAAGTTTTTATCAACATAATATTCTACAGTATGTTTATTATTTAGAAAGATACGACGGGTAATTTGAATTTTATAAAATATTATAAAAATATATAGGTAATTATTTAATAGAAACTACACGTTTTATATTCGCACGTTAGAATTGTAACACCAGTCACCAACAATGTTTTATTCGTACTGTACCTAAGTATTATAAATACAATAAGACAGAATACAAGTATGCGTGTTACGTTTATTTCTACACACAACTCATTTATGATAAGCAGTTTAAATAAAAGAATTAAAATATTGTTTTTTTAATGAACTCTAAAGGTTTATTAATAAAGTTTAAAGTATTTAGTTTATATTAATTATTTTCCTCAATTTCTGATATCATATATAAGTACTTAAAAGAGATTAAAATAAGTGGGACCAAAACGTTAGAGGATTTGTTCACATTCTAGTTGGCAATTAATAAGGGTACTTAAACTATAATTTTTTGGCAAAATTTAAAACATGACCGAAGAAAATTAATTTGTTACTTAAGAATATAATTTACTGTAAATTGTGATTACTCTATTTTAAATTTAAATTATTTCTAGTCACTAGATATATTAGAGTTGGTACCATGACTTCAAATACTTATTTACTCTAAAATATTTCTTATGTTATTGTTGATTTAAGTTATTAAGAAATTTGTCATTATTTTTATTGTGTTAATTTGTTGATAATTTATGTTTACTACCTACACGTTTTATTCAATAAAATGCAGTATAATGCAATGCAAAAATAAAATACCGTATTTTAACCACTCTAAATAAACTATATTATTCTGTTGTGATATCGATGTGTATCTATGTAATCCTTTTGGCTAAGTGTTCATTAGCATTTAAAACACAATACAAAACATTATAAATTTGACACCGGTAGCGCTTATCTCCGCGCTCACTATTCGTGAGCCTGCCATTTTTTTTTATGATGTTTGTATCGTTAATAAATATATCCGTAATATATTTATCATTGTCGGTTGCGACTGGTCAAGAACCATCTCGCATAGTGTAGTTTCGAATTTCTTCTTTTTAGAAAAACCGTTTGTCATAAATAAATGCTAATTTTTTTCAAAACAATTAAAATTATTTTTTCAACTTTTTAAAATCGATTTATTCAATTTTAACGATTCCTTTTATTTAACTGCTAACTAGTAACTACACAACAGCATATTATCATGTCTCAGGATAATATATTATCAATATCTAGTTTGAATTTACATAGTCCAAAAAAGTGAGTTTAACTACTACCTAATTCAAACTACATCAATTATTAAAAATTAGTTTCTGGTCGTAGTTTATGATTTGTATAATATTATGTAAATTAATAAAATTTTATTTGAAATTGTTTTTCCAAAAGCTGGAAAATAGTGGCAAGAGTTAAATATCTGTCAGAACCGGAAGATGGAAAGACTGGGAAATATTTCTATGTTGATTTATGTGATTCTACAGGAGAAATTAGGGCAATAGCGTTTAATTTAGAAGCTTATCGGTTCCATTCAATATTTAAAGTAATTTTATTTTTCATTGATATAATTTTATACTTATAAATGTATTAAAATATCTAATTGCATTTTGTTCTGTAAAGCTTACAGTGCATACAGTATTTCGTGATTGAAGCAAATGAGTAGGTATTATGATGTGCCTGTTAGAGAACATTTTTGGGAGGTTCCGTCCATCAAAATATTTAAAAAGCCATTTTTTTTCTCTATAAAGTTGATAGCTGAAACATATTGTAGGTACACAATCTTTATTTTTTACTTTTTGGTTTTTATCACAAGTTATAAAAAAGAAAAACAGGTACACCTTGGCAGTAATTTTGTATGTTGGTAAAAGTATATTATTATTGTAAAAAAGTAGCAAAAGATACATATTTGCTTTTTTTTAATTAGTAACTTTTATGTCTATTATGTACAGGTGAGTTATCCTGGCACCCGAAAGTTATCTCTACTCCCTAAAACCAATTTCCTATTTTTGTACTCGATTTTTATCTATATTTTGTTGAACCTTCCTTAAAAAAATGTGTACCCCATTCGATTTGTCATAAAATTGAAACCTGTATCCAGGTGCTGTAAACGACGTCGTCACCCGGAACGGTCAAAAGCAGACTGATCATACCAATTAAATTTTTTTCTTCCCGGTCTAAGCTGCATCCGTTTAGGAATTGTTTAATCGAGCTCTGTACCCATAAACAGTATAGTATTTTTCAATTTTAGGTGTAAAAAAAAATGTTCCTATGTATATTAATTTAATGTAAGATAGGTTTTAAGTAAAGACCAGATTTTGCATAAAATTCATGTTACTATTTTCAACATCATATTAAACATGCAGTCAATGAGTGTCCACAATAATCATTACTTGATTGATTAAATATCAAAATTGTATATTCTGACGTTAGTGCATGTTCTGCATATTTTTTCATATTTTAACAAAAAACGGTACAAATGTACACCTACCGATCTAAAAAGGTGCTGAGAAAAAAAACAGATTATAGGTACGTTTATATAATATAAATATCCAATATTTTACATCTCAAAGAATATTCGAACGCTAAAAATAGGTTATGTTATTGTTTTTCCAATTAACATACTACATTACATTGTTCGTACTTTTTTCCTATTTATATCAGTATATTACCAATGTATCTACTATTTAATTTTAATAAAATATTTTTTACAATGTATCAATGATTAAAAATTAAATTACAATTAAACAAAATACATTATTGTATTACATATTTGTTATATTATACATCTAACTTTTTGTTTATGAAAATTTTAATAAAACTAATAAATAATTATCACTGAAAAATTAAAATCAAATATAAAATGTAGTAAAAATTGAAATTTTATTTTGCGTCTTTTGCATCTTTATCTTGCATATTTTGACATTTTTTAGTGCATGTTTGCATATATATTTTAATATTTAAAATGCATATAAATCCGCTCTTTAGTTATAAAGTACATACCTACATAATATAATGTCTTTACTATACTTAACAGATAAAATATGTCTGATAACTAATAAGTAATAAATATTAATTGATTTCTAGTTTCTACCAATTAGGAAAATGCGAATAAGAATATTTATTATTCAATAGAAAACGGAATAATACAAACGATAAATGAAGATTTCAGAAATTACAATGGACTTGATAACGATTTTGAAATCAAATTGTTTAAACGTTCCATAGTCAAAGAAAATGAATTAAATAATAATGTGCGTAATGGAAAATATAATGCAGTTAAAACAATACATTCAAAAGAAAAAGATTCAAGTGTTGGTAAGAGTAAAACATTTTTAATTACTGTTAGTTTCTTTATAACAATATCTGTATTACTGTTATGTATTATTTTGTGTTGGGTAGTTATGCTATTAATATATTATTAAATGTATGTAACATTTTATTATAGCTTCACAATCTCAACACAGTGAATTGATTGAAGAACTTACACAAAAAAGTATAGCTATAGACAAGCGTGAGATTGACAAGAGACAAAAAATAATGGATATACTTGACATCGAACTTGCCATAAAAAAATTAGATTTGGGATATTTGAAAGAAAAAGGGGATTTAGTAAAAAAACTAAACCACTTGAATAATCAATAATTAATTATGAATGATATCTCCTTTAATAATGTAATAACTATTTAATTTATTTTACTTAACATGTCAAAAGTATCATTTTATTTAAATTTTAAATGTTTCTGAAAAAAATATTATAATTAGATACTTACAGTTTTTTTACACAAATTATGAAAATGTATTTACTATGATTATAATAATTATTCTTTATTAAAATATCTATTCTTCAAGCCAAAACCTTACTCTTCAAAATGTAATTGTGTAGACCTGAATATTTACAACTAAAAATCTAATTATGCTTTAAATGTTTTCAAAACAGTGTTCAGATATGAGTATACATCCATAAAATAAAAATAGTAAATACTGATACTTTTCATTTGCTCATAATTATAATAGGTACCGGTTCTAAGAGAAATATTAATTTTGTCTTAAGTAAGTTTATATAACATGATAACTCTGTTTCAGTTTTAGGACAACATGATATATACTACCTGGTATTGGGACAAAATATCCAAGGAAAAAATATCCTGTACTAAAATATCCAAGTCAAAATATCCAAGGTTAAAATATCCAACGGATAAAATATCCAGGGATAATCAATATATGGGACAAAATATCCAAATAAAAAAATATATTTTTTCCCCCTTTTTTTCTTTAGATACATAGTTCATTTTTAAATCACATTTAACATTGATAATACTTTGTAATATAGTAATAAGATAATAATAGTAAAAATAATAATAAAACTTAAGCTCCTTTGTCTTGAATATATTAATGGTGAAAAAGAATTAGATATTTTTTTAATTGCAATAGCAAATATAATACGATAATTTATTACCTCTTTTTAAACAATTTTTTTTTAAATATTAATATAAAAACTTTTAGATGATATAGTGTAATACACAATTCCTATAACTAAAGATATAATTATTATATATAACGCAACATATTATTTTTATTATTATTTTATTACTGTATTATTGATATTAAATGATATTAAAACGTGATTCAAAAATGAACAATATAATGAATTTAAATAAAAACAATTATATGAGTATTAATAATACATTTTAATGTTTTTTTTTTAATTGGATATTTTGTCCCATATATTGATTATTTTATCCCTGGATATTTTAACCTTGGATATTTTGACTTGGATATTTTAGTATAGGATATTTTTTCCTTGGATATTTTGTCCTAGATTCATACTACCTATGTACTTGTCAGGTATTGTACGGATTCCGAAATAAATATAAATTCTTTCGATACTTTTAAAGAATCTAAGAGCCTCAATTAATTTACTATGTTATTTTATTTTTGTCGATTTAATATAGGTACCGAACTGTAATAAATAATAATACTATTTATAAACTATTTTATCTATTGAAAACTATTTAAAGTGATATATAACATATTTTTACTATTATTTATATAATAACATTTTATATTGATATTTAAAACTCTCATTTGTGGAACGGCATTGTAACTTTAGAAGTGATCCTACTGTTTAATTGTATACTTATCTTAATATTTATTATTGGAAATAAAAATATTATTGCTATAAATTTATATTATGTATTAATGGGCTCTCTGTTTTATAAATAAACGTTATATCTAGGGCTCGGATGTTTATGAAATTGCATATTTTTTTCTATTTATCCAATTTATTGCTAACCTGGATACAAATTTGATTCATGTTCTACTGAATAAAATAATACTATTTTTATTTTGCATATTTTTGTATATTTAGTGGTTTTGTATATTAAATGTATAATTTTGGATTTTAAGAATATAAATGCATATTTCAAGACAATTTAACGTAAAATATTAATAATGTTCCTTATTAGGTGTTTTTATATCGTGCTTGTCTGGAATATTTATTAGATAACGATTTAATAATAGAATTTTGTATACACTTCATGCCATGAGTATGTGGCGACGACCGGGCCTCGTATTAGTACGATTTTAATCGCCGTGTTTCCAGGTCGGTTGCTAAGAGTACCTATTATTATTTATATTTTTCCGCTTTCAGTTTTACTTTTATTTAAAAATGCCGAAATGTAAGTCGTCTTGTTCACATTTTTTTGTGCATATTTTGGTGTTTTTATTGACTAAAAATGCATATTTTATCATTTTTAGAGCATATTTTGTTTGCATATTTCGTAATTTTTTAGTGCATAAATGCATGCATATTACAGTAGTTTTAAGTGCATAAACATCCGAGACCTAGTTATGACTATACTTATTATTACTATGTGTGTTGAATAATTAAAAGAACATTTTTATTTTTATGTCATATATTTTTATGTTCTGCTTGTAGACAACTGTTGTGCAACTCTTACATTTCGTTTGTATACCAATTCTCTCACCAAAAATGTGTTCATAAACCATTTTCTATTTCTACATATTTTAATTACCTGCTTATAAAATAAAAGGTTATTACTTATTGCAGCAAAGTTGGCATTTACGGGCTACAGGTCTGCTGTAGGTTATTAAGTGTCTAGAAGGGTCAATGTAATGGGTGTGTTGAATTTGAATCCAACGATATAACATCATCATCGCAAACGAAATACGATTCTGATCGAAGACTGTTTGTTACCCTACATTACCAAGTATATTTCATGATATTATTTCTTTTTACATTTAAAGTAATTTATTTTACTATTAGACACGAGTATTGTTGTATGTTGAATTAATTTTTTCTAAATAAATATCATTTGAAAATGTCACAGTGTGTACCTCTATACAATATAATATCGAGGGCGATATACATATACTTACGCATTGTCTAATCGACGAAGATGAGGATATGAACAAAATCCTCTACAATTTTAAACTGCTTTATTATATGTTATTTTTTGTTGACATTCAAATTCGACGAGATAAGCTCGGATTATCCATTAAGCTCGATAGTCATTGTTGCTCCGATTAGTCAAAAGCCGCAATACTTGCCGGGTCGGCCGAGCACGCGATAACTGTTTAGATATTATACATTATAATATTTATTTCTGATTTTTTATAATAAATAATAATTTAAAATAGACATTTTGATTATTACCCTACATTTTCGTATTATTTGACTGATGATTACGTGGGAGATGAACGAAACCTGTGAACACACCATAGCGATATTTCGTAACAATAACGAATTGTTCACTATTCTGTCTGCGATATTATCATAATAGATAGTTATATATTATAATGTACCTATGTATTGCATCCGTATCTGAAGTACACGAGTGTTTGTATGAGTGTATTTGAATTTTGAATTGTTTGACGGAACTACGGTGGATGTTGGGTGGTAACAACCGACTTCAAAATATTTTACCTGGGTGGGATGCTGTATGACGATGCTGCAGATCGCCGACGAGCTAATACTGACTAAGTAATAACTTGTGTTGTTTATCATCGTGTTTTAAATTAAGCTATTATGATAATATGATTGTGATAATTGAATGTGTTATTTTTTTTTTAAAGTGATAATTGATTAGTAATCAATGATTACCTTTTTTTTTTTTTATATTATGGTATCGAGGACTGGAGGAGGAACTATGGTGCCAGTACTTCTCTTTCAGCCCCCATCGTTTATTGTAAAAAACAAAATGCAATGATTACCTAAGACACTAGTTATTACGTGGAAGTTGATTAATTACATGTATTGTCGGTCAGTACCGTTGAATCCTTATTTATAGGTATATTATACCCCATAGGCAGTGACATACCCAGAGGTTGGGTAAGGAAGCTTCAGCCCCCTCCCCCCCCACATTGACCGTGCTGTGCTATAAATCGTACATAATAAACGCCAAAGTGGAGACCATCATATTTCAAAAAATGATTTTAAAGAAACATTTTGGGTATTATCAAATTATTTGTAGAGGTTATTACGATTACGAGATATTGAGTATAGCCATAACGATCTTAGGTGCTGAGTGCTGACACAAATAAGTGGGAGGGGAATCACCACTCTATATGAATATTGAGTATGCATAATATAAACTGCATAACGTCTAAAATAGTTTTTCTTTAATAAAAAGTAACCATAATTTAAGTATTATTTAAGTAATCGATGGATTACTATAAGAGATTAAGACAGATTTTTCCTCCATGTATTCATAGTAATAATTACAATTAAGTTTTTTCGATAATAATTTTATGTGTGAATATATTTTATTGCGAATTTAGGTATTCGTATTATACTACTGAGATTTTTCTATTTGTTTTACTTTTCCTAATAATAAACTTGATTTAATTGAAGAAAATATTCCGAATTTAATAAATAACCAAAATTAAAGTTTTCAAACGAGTATTAACAAGTAAATCTTTTAGCTTGGCCCCAACATTGTCTTCTGTAGCCATTATTATTACCAGGATAATTTTTAAATATTTTAAAATATAGACTAATTAGTGTTCTTACTTTGAATGATTTAAAAAAAATTTAAAAACTGATGGACGTATTGGTGCAGTCTGACAAAGAAGATGTGCAGCTAGATGTCATATTTAAACGATTTTAAAAAAACATTGAAATACATTTAACCTCAGAAAACTTTAAAGATGGCATGGTTTGTATTTTCAGACCAGAAACGACACATCAGACAACTATGAAATATCGTTTACACAATGCTCGTGAATGATTAGTAATTGCGATTGTCTGAATTCAACAGTGCTCTACGAACTACATAACAATAAAATCAAATAAGTAATATATGTTTTGTGGCAACACTGGAGAATTGCAATATGTCTGACTATTTTGAGACAAAACTTCTGATTCCTTTCTGTTTATTCCTGAGATGCTGGGCCAAACGTAACTGCAGTTCATATTATTATTATTAGAAACAATATTCGAAGATGAAAAATGTGTGGTTTGATTCTTCTGACCAGTTCCCAGGTAAACCAGATCACAAGATGGATTAGTGTAAGTTGGCTTAAAAGTTGTAAACATTATATTTATTTTTATTTTTTATAGTTACCACTTAGCTACATGTAATGTGTTTTTATGATATATTATTATGATTTATAAAAACTTA